CTGGTGCGCGACTTGGACAGTATCGATGTCACCTCCATCAGCTCTGTAAATAGTTGGAGGCTCTCAAATGGGTGTTCGACTTTACAAACAGAGATGCTAGCTATTCAAAAGGCTTTGGAACATGCTCTTGCTGAACACCGACAACATGTTATCATACATACAGATTCGAGAACCGCCATCGAAACCTTGCAACAAGAACACATATGATAACAGACATCTGATCACAAATGTCATATCATTAATGCAAACACTCAAACGACAAGGCCGACGGGTACTTATCAACTGGGTGCCAAGTCATGTGGGAATAATAGGAAATGACATTGCAGACGAAGCTGCAAAACTTGCAACTAAGAAGAAATGTAGACATTTACATACCACAGAGTCTATCACAGATTAAGAAAGTAATTAGAAACGGAGCAATGCAAAAGATGTACAGTGACCACAACACAGCAGTTGCAACATCAGGATCTGCGGGTTGGTACAAGAATTCAACCAACTACGATCCCCTTTGTTTGATGAAAGGGAACAGTAGAGCAACAGAAGTACACTTACATCAGGCTTGGATACCCATGTGCATGGGCAATAGGCTTACAGGTTCCGGAAGATGAGAGGAAATGTCAACACTATGGAGAAATGCCAGACAGACCACTGGAACATTATCTAACACAGTGCACAGTTACAAACCCATTAAGATTTCAACTTGGATTCAACAAAGCAGAAGTTGTTAAACACACATGGCAAAATCTTACTGAAGCGACCATACGAGTCAAATACTCATACTCCGCCCAAGTACAACAGAATCAAGCAACACTTAGTGGGCCAGCCAGAGGCTTAGGGCCCGCGCAGGAATATCCCTGCAAAAAAAAAAAAAAAATCAGCGTTGTCGATGTAAGCGATTTGTAGAGGGCGCGAAAACTTACTACAATCGTGAGATTGATCTGGGAGTTTACCCAGGTTATGCTAAGCTTTTTTAAAACGCATTAAGCTCACTCAGACAATATGTACACAGAAAGTACACACACTACAAGAATGCGAATGTTGACTTCCATATTAAACACGCGTGCGCGCACACAACGCAGGCACGGTGACCATGATTTCCACACATGCATACCTGTACAAACATCTAATCCCATATTTACAATGCAAGAGACAACGCCAATGTATATACCTTAGCCTAATCATCCATGCGCTAGGAGACTAGTGCAGTAAGTCTCAGGTTTCAGACTCCATTTGCCGGTGGATTTACCGAGTTTATCTACGCATTTTGTGAACCAACACTTCCTTTGTGCGTATTTAGATAGCAGGATGCGATGAGGTATATGACGCCTTATTCGTTTGTATTTACGTTCAGATTTTATATCTCTCTTCGCTGATAAGCGCCTACGTAGTTTTTTCTTCTAAGCATAGATATTGAATGAGACCAGTGTTTCAAAACACACGTAATATTTATCGTTCTAAGTGATCAATACGCATTTAACTAATTTCTTCTCTCAAAGTTGTGCAAGAACAGGTTGCAGAGAAATATAAGTTCATAATTTTAAACTGTATCTATGGAACCTTTTACTTTATATAAAAAGTTCATATTGCGAGAAACTTAATTAAAGTGGGTAAAAAGCAAGAGAATGAAATAAAAGGAGTCACGACAAAAATTAAGATATAAAATAGCAATTCAACCTTCAGAAACTATAATAACTACATTTAAATGAGGCTATATCAGATACGTGCACATCTGTGCGTACAATCCTGGTCTTACGTCACCCAGTTAATCCCCCGAGAAGCCCTGCCCTCAACCACACATGATTTACTCGCCATGCCCCACCCTCGACGGCCAAAACATCAACTGAAACTAAGGCTGTTTACAGGCTGTAGTCTATATTAACGGTGTGAAATTTAGTATTGGTTTGAAGGCGATGAGTCACAATAACATGGCTGAAGAATGTTGACCAGACCACACACTAGAAGGTGAAGGGACGACGACGTTTCGGTCCGTCCTGGACCTGGACAATCGACTTGAGAATGGTCCAGGACGGACCGAAACGTCGTCCCTTCACCTTCTAGTGTGTGGTCTGGTCAACATATTGGTTTGAACTTTTTTGTTTTCAAATTAGTCCACTAAACTATTATATACGCTAACAGAAGTTAGTAAAAAACCCTGAAAGCAGTTATCCTTGGACCAATGTCTATGTATTTTCTTGAGTATGCGAGGTATCTTTAATACACAAAATAAACCCCAGGGGTGTAGGGGTGCAGCAGCACCTCCCACCCTGGTAAATAATACCTTTTGACATCCTGGTGCCCCCTACATACTCCACAAAGTAACTAATAACATACAACTTATGCTCAGCTTGGTGCTAAAGCAAGTACCCTAGAACACACAATCTACAAACTAAAAACATCAGACTATATACACCTACGGATCAACCAATTCAACTACTGGGAGGACAGGAAATGCTGTTATTGTTCACCAGCTTGATGGCAGCACAATTAAAAAGAATGCAGCAGTAACTGGACATCCACCTTGCAAGATGTACTGTTGGCTATCCTGGTAGCACTCAAAAGTGTTGAGAACACTGTAGTAGACAGCTTAATTATTTCAGACTCCATTTCCTCATTAATAGCATTAAATAGCTTAAACTCAAACAGTACGTGCTGGTCTCCGAGGCCACACATACACATATGTGTACTTAATAAGGGCGTCAAAGTCACAATATGTATCCCTCTCACAGTGGACTGTAGGAACATAATAAAGCCCTTGTTAAGTTTGCCATAAATAAAGACAACGTTGAACGTAATCTTGCGCCATCAAATAAAACCCTGAAAAGCGCCATTAGACGATAACTCTTCGATAACTTTGAAGAAAGTATAATAGTGTAAACAAGAACTAGCAGCTTCATTGTGTATCACAATGAAATGTATCAAACAAAACTTGTGTATGGGGCAAGTAACACAATCAGCAGACTAACGGACGTTGTTACAGCTCTAATACAAACAACTTGGCTACAAGTATCTGTCAGTTCGGCTTGTTTAAGGATTTATCTGAGGTAAAATGCAAAAGGTGTGGACAATGACGGCGGGGGGGGGGGGGACGGGCGCGCGTGCACACACACACAAGCACACGCACACAGGCACACGCACCACACACAGATTACATCCTAGACTGAGGAAAAATTGTCATTTAGAAAAATCTAAACTCACGCTGCATGAAATGGCAAACGATCTTATTACAAATGAAAGTATCTGATATCTTTGCACTGTATTAATATTTCCCTTCTAACATAAATGACAAAATGGGTATGAGAGAATGTCGTACAGTGTGCTAGCTCTTCTATAATCTTTTAATAATTTAAATATGGGGTATTACATGTATTAACCAAAAACCTTCCTTAAAGTATAATTTATTGTAAATACATGCGTGTTGCAATCAAAAAAGGTCTAACTAGTTTTCAATATAATTATAAGGTGTGCAGGTTAGATGTAATTGCTAATTACAAAATCCCCGCCGAGGTTTGATTATGACCGTTTTGTCAACCCATCCTCCTAAAACGATAGTAATTATTTGGCCGAAAGTACCAACAAGTAGTAATGAACCACCAAAAAGTTCAATTATGGTTGAAGTTCGACTTTTATTGGAGCATCACTACATACTGGTACTTCCGATCAGTTACTATAAGTAGTATCATTTTTGGAGGATGGACTGCCTTTTGCGTACTCCCTCATCTTTTATTTTATTTGTTTGCGTTACAGATCAAAGGACAAGCATGGGGTACACAATAAACTAGCCGCCTCCGGTGGCACCAGCCAGTCCTTTGAACGAATTACAATAATTAGCCCAAAAGACTCAAATAAATGGGAGAAAGAAGCGCTAATCTTAATCTCCCATTGCCGCCGTCGTCTTAGTCTTTTCAACAATACTGTACAGGGCTTGGAACACTTGTACAGGATGACCACCACTAGAAGAGCGTGTGCCCAGCCAAGCCGGTAATACAGGTGCTGCCAGCCAGTTCCGGGGTGTATCAAGTTCAGCATATTCTCGTCTGTGGCCATGCAAACTACATCTCTGCGCAGTTAAACCTGATAAAAAGCTTTAGTTTATTCATGTATCTTCGGTATGCGAGCTGCCTTTTCGAAAACCCGAGTTTGGGCGTCCATTAACAAGGTAATCTGAATATATGTGCCAATTTGCAGCTCTTTTGAAAAATATATACTCTGAACTTGGCCTAAATAGAAACAAAACCGACAGACCTTCTGCAAAATCTATGTATATTACAACAGCGTTTTGCTTGTCTTCCATGGCAGGCAAGGCCACGTTATTGTGGTCTAGCAATTGTGAGAGGCGGAAGTGCCCTGTTCTGAACCCATGTTCTCCAGGGTTATGTAGATGCTGTGATTCCATGTGCTTTATGATCTTGCCTCTTAGCATGCTTTCAAAGATATTTATGTATGGTGTTAGTGCTGTCGCTCTATAATATTTGGCCTTTGCTTTATACCCTCCTTTATGGAGTGGTGCTGTCTCCTCTTATGTATGTCTGGGTTAAGTACGCTTTATCTATAGCCTCTGCATGCCTACTAAAAATGTTAAGGGCCTGCAATTGTGGTTTTTACAATTCTTGATGAATAGGGATTTCCAGAAAACAGTGCCCGACCTGCAGCCCTACACTGGCCTGCAACTCCTATATTGACCATATACATATATCTGTGATTTTTATGTGCATTACAAAAATTCTTGTACATGAAATCTATTTTCCTACGTAAGCCAAATACGGTAATGTTAATTTAACCGTGTCACCGAATATGTTAAATAGATATATCTGGTGTCGATGTCATAGTTAAAGCGTCAACTGCCAAATTAATAAATCTACACTAGTAATAACAGCTGGAAAACTATTTGTAGTTCAAGAAAGGGTCAGCCAAGCCCATAGCGAAAGCCGTGCTTCACATTCCTTACCAAAAGACGTGGAAATAAACCCCGAGAACCAGTTTCAACTGCAGCTTGTACTCACCTCCTGACTGAAGGAGATGGTGGAGACGTAGACTTTGATGACCATGTCTGCGATTAACAAGATACGGTACCACTGAAACACCAGAGAGAGCTGAGCACTGCACTACCTCACACCACCCTTACTACTTGCAGACTGATCTGAGGCTTCTAGAGTTACGCTCCTCGGACCAGAAATAAACATTGGCAGCATCCATGGAGAGTTCACTGTCTATGGAAACACAAGTATAATAGCAAAGTTATAGAATTATTTGATCTAGGCTTTAAATTTTATTTTACATAAGTTTGTTTTATTTAAATAATATAAATAAAATTGCATTGTTTTGTGATAAAGAACGAGATACATGGACATTTTCCAATGCTCAATCCTATATGCGCAAGGCGACCACTCTGCGCAAGCGCAGGCCGGCTTGGACTTTCATGTATCCGAACCATCGACACCACATTTTATTTCACAATATCTCTATTTTCTCATGAAAAACATATGCAGTATTGACATACTAAGGTAGAGCTTATACTAAAATCAGATGAATAAATAACAGCCCTTGCCAGTGATTTTCTTAGTTAAACAATGAATACAGAATGAGGTGAATCAACAAATGCGAACGCGCCGTGCATCTGTCAAAACATTAATGCGCCCACTTCAAACTGTTCGAAAATTAATCGTTACATATTTATTGAGTAATCCTCAATATGTAACATATATATTGAATGGTGTTCTCTGAATGCTCTGTGTTCCCTTCTTCGAGGCTATGGGTCCCTACAATTGCACCAGAGTTGGTACATACATATAGGTTAAATTAATTTGATCCAACCTGACCTAAAGGCATAAGCTGGATCAAATTTCTGTGCTAGTTTTAATTCAAATTAAAAAATATATAAATATTATAATGGAAAACTTTGTCATTCCATAAGAAAATAAATAAAAAAATATATAATTTCAGGGAAACTCGGATTGTTAGGCATCTTGGCCTATTAGGTAGTACTTATTTTGTAGTAGAAGTATGCCCACTGTATGATCCTATAGAACACATTTACATTATTTTTTGAGCATATAGAAGGGATGAATGAGTTGACAGCGGTCTTTAATGAGAGGCTTTCTCGGTGATTATGAAGAGAAACTAAAGAAAAGTAATTTACATACTCTATTAACCTGTCAGTAACACGATCAACAACGCTCGGAATCCTCGTCACGGCCCTTGTGTTCAAAGGAATATATACATATCAGTTCAGGCTGGACCACGAAATATTAGATTAAAATGGGATTCAGTAGAGATATATATAAACACTAACCCGGAAGAAGTTACAAAGTAACATATTATAGCACCAACATCACTACACATGTTCGCATTAGGCTGGGTAGGCAGGAACAACAGTGGTTGTTGTTGTTGTTATAGATTCAGCTACTCGGAACAAGTTCCAAGTAGCACGGGTTATGGTGAGCCCGTAACTTACCTGGCACAGAAGCGGGGCAAGTAGCACGGGCTATGGTGAGCCCGTAACTTACCTGGCACAGGATCAGGGCAAGTAGCACGGGCTATGGTGAGCCCGTAGCGGACTTACCTGACACAGGAGCGGTGCTGTGTGTGTGAAAAAAAGCACAACAGTGGGTGTGGTCGAGTATAAATAGCAGCACCCTCCAACGGGCCGATAGGCCTTCTGCTGTTCCCTTTATTTTTATCTTTTCTTCACCTTTCTGCCTGCCAGCTCGATCTTAAACTAGCGGGGTCACCCAGGCTGTTCGTGCTAGCAACTCGCTTGGTTGATTTCTAGCTTCAATAAGGTGTTAAAGCAATCTTCCTAATTATAAGGAATTAAAATATATTAACGCGAAATTTAGGTTGATTGCACATATTTTGACCTTTAAATTACGAGTTTTTATACCGAAAATATACAGGTTAATGCAAACTGCGATGGGTGAGATTTTGTTTAAATTGTCCTATTTTCAAAATATCGGAAATATGACTTATGGACCTTATTTTTTTAGAAGAATTCATATTAATTGCACATATTTGAAGTTTTAAATTACGACTTTTTATACCGAAAATATGCAAATTAGTGAAAACTGCGATTGGTCATATTTTGCCCAAATCGCCCCCTACAGTATTCAAAATACGATGCATATCGGAAATATGATTCTTCAGCGTTATTTCTGAGCGGGATTCATTGTGATTGCACTCTCGCCCACCTTGGGTGACCAGCCAGTCTCTCACCCACCTTGGGTGACCAGCCAGTCTCTCACCCACCTTGGGTGACCAGCCAGTCTCTCATCCACCTTGGGTGACCAGCCAGTCTCTCACCCACCTTGGGTGACCAGCCACTCACTCACCCACCTTGGGTGACCAGCCAGTCTCTCACCCACCTTGGGTGACCAGCCAGTCTCTCACCCACCTTGGGTGACCAGCCAGACTCTCACCCACCTTGGGTGACCAGCCACTCACTCACCCACCTTGGGTGACCAGCCAGTCTCTCACCCACCTTGGGTGACCAGCCAGTCTCTCACCCACCTTGGGTGACCAGCCAGTCTCTCACCCACCTTGGGTGAAATATTCCATCTGAATTACTTATAATTAATTATAGTTCATCTAAATTAATTATCCGCCAACAAAACATTAAAATTTGTCAACAAAAAAAAATCATTCCACCAACAAAAGACTCCAAATCCGGCAACAAAAATATCCCTATCTGTCAACAAAAAATTCCAAATCTGCAATCTTTTTGTTTTTAAATACACAAACAAAAAAATCCCAATTCGCAAACAAACAAAATCCAAAATCCGCCAACAAAATTCTAAATCCGTCAACAAAATTCTAAATCCGTCAACAAAACAATTCCAAATCCGCAAAAAAACAAATCCGCCATAAATTTTTTTAAATCTGCTAACAAAAAAATCCAAACCCGCCAACCCCAAAAAATCGAAATTCGCAAAAAAATAAAAATAGAAATCCACCAACAACAAAAATCTAAATTCGCCAACAAAAAATGGAAATCGGCCAACCAAAAAATCCAAATCCACCAACAAAAAAGTCCAAATCCGACAACTAAAAAATCAAAATCCGCCAATAAAAATTCTAATTTTGCCAACAACAAAATACGAATTCGCCAAAAAAATTCTAAATCCTCCAGTCAAAAAAAAATCGAAATCCTCCAACAAAAACATTCCAAATCTGTCAACAAACAAAATCGACATCCTCCAACAAAAAATTCCGCCAACAAAAAAGTGGAAATCCGGCAACCAAAAAAAAAATCGATATCCGCCAACAAAAAATCTCTAAATCCGCCAACAAAAAATCCAAATCCGCCAAAAAAAAAAACATTCCAATCCCACCAGTAAACAAATTTCTATTCGGCCAACAACAACAACAACAAAAAACTCCAAATTCGCCAACAAAATAATTCGAAATTTACAAAAAAAAAAAAAAATCAAATTCCGCCAACAAAAAAATTATAAAATGTATTTGAACTCACAGAAAACGGAAGGTGGTGAAAGGGAAGTCGAGTGCCCACAGGAGGTTATCTTAAGGTTATCTTGAGATGATTTCGGGGCTTAGCGTTCCCGCGGCAAATTTCAGACTTAGGAGGGCTAAGGTTCAATATCCTTACATAAGCGAGATGAAAGATGAAAGGTCACGTATATATATTGAAATTGAGATTGAAACACGTTTATTGAGGTATAAATACACACAAGACTATGTAAAATGCACACTGATGTTTCAAATTGTATGTAAAATGAAAACTTACTTTCTAATATGTTGAGTAAATGGAAAATTAAAACAAATTCTTAGCAACACTTATATTGCCGTGAAATTGGCCAATTACATTAATTTGTGCAAAATGCATATTATGCACATTGTGTTGGGCATATCTAGAACTACGAAATAATTTCATATAAATGTTTGTATTAATAAACTATTTAGTGATACGAATCATCCCTAATTGCTGTATTTTTTGCAGAATAATTTTAATAATTGTATCATTAAGCGGTTGTGAAGTTTGAAGAATTATTGAATATACCACATCATAAAAATAAAATATACTTGAGTGATATCCTGAAGGTAATCTTACATGTGGCTGCACAACAAGAAAAAATTGTATATCACATTCAGTGGTAATTATGTGGTACGCAGCAGTACACTAAAAAGAAAAACCTTCGTGAGTTTGCTCTCTACGGGCTCACCATAGCCCGTGCTACTTGGAACTTTTGTTCTGAGTAGCTGAATCTAAAACGTGAACGTGAGTTTGCTCTGTCAGCTAAGTGTGCTGTAAATCACTCATAGCTTTACATAAACTGGTTATAACTCAATTTTTCTCTACTACACAACACGGAGGATCGATTTTAATATAAACACAAGATTATAGCTGTTTTTTTTTCTTTCTTTTTTGCAGGGATATTCCTGCGCGGGTGAATCTCGGGGGATAGTTCCTTGATATCTCGTTCTAGGTACCTCAATTGCTCCAATTAATTTATTTCATCACATTCAGTAATTATAATAATAATAATAATATTATTATTATTGGGGACACATTATTAAATTTATTTTGACCCTTAAAACTGTTATCGTACAGCGGCATCAAATATAGTACAAGCTATCTTCGATACATAAATCAATTAACTAAGAAATCGTGGAGATAAATTTATGAGACTGTTGTTTATTAAACATGCGAAAGATATGTTTCATCTAAATAATTTTGATTGTTATATATTTATCTTTTTTTTTTTTTTTTGTAAATTCTTTACTAAAACCAATGTTAGTCAGTAAACAAAACTTCCTTCGATTTATTACGATTATGTTACTATCACTGCCGGTCCTCGCAAATTCTATCACCCTAAAATTTTAAAGTTGAAGTGAAATTGCGAAACAATTGACAAAGTTTCTATTACGTCACTGAAGACAAGGCAGGCGTCCCTCCAGCCTCGTTCCGCGTGACTGCACTCTGGCCAATATCACGTCAAAACATAATATGAGAAATAAAACTTTACCACGTAACAATCGACCAATAAGCTTTGACTTCATCAGTTGCTAAACTCATGGAAGAAATTATTCGAGAGCATATATAGAGTACAGTGTTTCGGGAATCACTATCTATAGTTCAAAATTCCTAACATTGCCTTAGGAGATTCATTTATGTTTAACGAATTGTTTTTTTATTTTTAATGT